TTTTTTAGAGGTCATCTGAATGCCTGCAGGATGACTTTCAAAGCCTTTGTTGGAGACCGGTGAATACACAAGAATTACTGCTGCACAGCTATTTTGCTCCCCTTCAGCACTTTGAAAGAGCATGTAAAATTATAACCTTGCCTCCCAATGAGGATGTCAGCATTTGGTCACTTTTCTGTGTGTAACCAGTGGCACAAGCATAAAGCGAATCGCATATGAGCTTTTTCAGTACAGCAGTTTTCTGATCTAATAACTATCCAAAAAGCAGTAGATGTAGACTGTGCTGTTAAGGAGAGTGTTGCCTCTGTTGAAATATTAGGAATAGGAACTCTAAACAGTCACAATATGCCGTATGCTTTTTGCTTATTCCTGATATTTCTTGCCACCCTTGCACTTTTTCTTCCTCGGTTTTGTCACTGTGGAGTTAGAATAGCAAAAGTGGCAGTTTGCTCAGAGAATACAAGAGTTTAATGTCTTAGCAAAAGATGACTTCCTGCATTCCCACTGTACCTTAACCTTGGATTTTGTAAAGTATAGCAATCATGTAATTCAAAGCTGCTATGGAATATAGTTTCCAAAGACTGTGCTTCATTTTTGTTGTGTGTGTGTATTTGTGCCAATTTAGAGGATACAATGCACAGTGTATTTTTTTTTATTTTTTGCACTGACTGCTTTGTTTGATATTGCATAATCACTTTACAAGCAATGTCTGATGCATAGAGTTTAAGAGTTTATTAATATAAAAGCATAAAACAAAACCAGATGTATCTGAGCCACAATATTTGATCTTATAGTTCAAGTACTGCTTATGACTATCACGTTAGCCTATTATATGCCATATTTGATTAAAGTTAATACTATGCCACGTCTTTGCCTTGTTTTTCCAGTTGAAAACATAAATAAACTGTAAAAATAAAAACTACCAAGCATTTTAAAACCCCAGGCTAAAAAACAAAAACAAAAAAAAAAAAAACCAACACATTATATAAAAATGTAGCTTTTACATGCAACGTGGTTATGTTCATGCAAAGTCTGTGCGCGTCTCTTTGTAACTTCACTGAGAAAGTCCAGAGTTGACAGGAGATGGAGAAAGGGGCTGAATCATTTGAAGCAGCTGTCTTGTTTCCTCTGTCTGTGCATGCACCTTCAATAGCTGAACCTTTAGCTCACTGTTAGTCAGAGATGAAAAGTCTCCATCTGCAGAGGAAGACAGGAAGAAACTCTGAACTCTTACAATGACAGACTGTTTAAATTTTATGCAGTAATATCAGTATTTTCAGTTCTTAAATAAATGTGCAATTAATGCAAACCTTTCTTGAGGTTAAATATGGTAACTACGCCAAGCTGCTGGAATTTAACATCTTTCTTTTTGAGGAATCCCAACAGGTACTTGGATATGGAAGTGTAATGTGGCTTCAACAAACGGATCATCTCTTCTGTAATGAAAACAGAAACATTTAATACATCCAGCGTAAAAACACAAAAGGAAGGTATTCTTTTCTCTTGCCACATTGCATTACCAGTCATTTCTAATTCGCTTATGATAGCTGCAGAGTTGTACGCCAGCTGGGAATTTCTGATTTGCTCTGACAGCTTCACTAAGCCTGAAACTTTTTCTGATGTTATGGTTGCTGACAATTTTGTCCGGAGTACATCTGAAACAGTGAGTAATGGTAATAGATTATTAAAAAGTTTTCCACCGCAAACATTCAAAATAAATAAGTCATTATTTCAAGTCAAGATCTCTCACCACAGGCCATCAGGTGATGCAAGCATGATGTCACATGAAGCAATGTCTCATCTGACAGGGTGTTAGACACAAGCGCACAGAGGAGTCCTGGTAAGCACAGACTTTCCATCACAGCCTAGATTACAATGGTTGGATTTAGGATAACTTTATCAGTCTTGGACAAATCAATAAAGCAGAGGTAGGAAAACAAAAAGAAAAAAAAAAGAATTGTAGTCTGCAAGTACCTGCTCACCAACGTGGGAAGTGCACAGATCGGTGATTATCTTGCAGCTGTATGTGACTATAACAGAGTTTGATCTGGGATGATGAAGCACCTGACCAATTTCCTCCAATAGTCCTTCACTTACCAGGATGTCCTGGAATCAAATTACAAAACTACTGTCAATATTAGAATTTAAATAAAAACTGTGCAATTACTTTAGGTGACACTGAATGCCACTAAAGTAAAATTTCAATAAATATTGGCACAATGCAAAAATAAAACCATACTCAACCACTAAGCAGTTGTATAATAAAACCAGGACTGCTCCCAGCTTTATTGTTAATTATTTATTTAGGCTAACATACGGTGTTTGACGGGTGTGCCGACAGTGAAGACAGTAGCGTTAGTGCCGATTCAATCCACACTGAAGTAGAGGTTTTTAACAGCGCCTTCAGAGGCAACACGCAGTCAAGCTCCATCAGCTGGTCCTGAATGAGAACTACACATAAAAGTAATAAACACCATCTGCCAGAGGTATGATACCTTTTTTGAATTTACTTTTTATAATTACCATTCTTTGAAAGAGTCTGCAGGCACCGGCACGCTTGGGCTGAATTCTGAAAAGGAAGTTGGGGTTTTTTTCCCCTCTTTAAAAATATATTTTCTTTAAACTAAGTTAAAATAACTCATGTTCAGAGTTACCTTTTTCACAGGTGAAGACATAAGAGTCAAAAGAGACCTTGATAAATAGTGACCCCCAATTCTGAGCAATCTTGGGTGATGCTCGTGGATAGCAGCAATGTTGCAAAGAGCAGTGCAGCTATAAAACTGAACCTCTGAATCTGAGGACTGTAGGAGAAGAAGCAAAACAGGAATCGCTCCTGCTTGGCATAACAGCCTTGTTGACCAATCTGAAGAGTAAAAACATAAAATAAAAGGAAATGTAACACTGGAAGAAATTGAGAAGTTTCTGGAAAATACAGTTGTGCTTATAAATTTACATACACTCGTCATCGGCATGGATGTCACGGGAATTTTGGCCTTTTAATTCTTTAAACTGTTCTTTTCCAGGGTGGAAAGACTGTACAGCATACATCTTTAATGATTTATAAAAATAAAT